TGTTCTCCAAAGTGGCTGCACCGATTTGCATCCCCACCAACAGTGGAAGAGGGTTCTTCTTTCTCCACATCCTCTCCAACACACGTTGTTTCCTGTCTTGCTAATTTTGGCCATTCTAACAGGTGCAAGGTGATATCTCAATGTGGTTTTAATTTGAATCTCCCTGATGGCTAGTGATGATGAACAATTTTTCATGTGTCTGATAACCATTTGTATGTCTTCATTGGAGAAGTATCTGCTCATATCTTCTGCCCATCTTTTTTATATGATTATCTGTTTTGTGTGTGTTGAGTTTGAGGAGTTCTTTATAGATCCTGGATATCAACCTATTGTCTGTACTGTCATTTGCAAATATCTTCTCCCATTCCGTGGGTTGCCACTTTGTTTTGTTGACTGTTTCCTTTGCTGTGCAGAAGCTTTTGATCTTGATGAAGTCCCAAAAGTTCATTTTCACTTTTGTTTCCTTTGCCTTTGGAGACATATCTTGAAAGAAGTTGCTGTGGCTGATATCGAAGAGGTTACTGCCTATGTTCTCCTCTAGGATTCTGATGGATTCCTGTCTCACGTTGAGGGCTTTTATCCATTTCGAGTTTATCTTTGTGTATGGTGTAAGAGAATGGTTGAGTTTCATTCTTCTACATATAGCTATCCAGTTTTCCTAGCACCATTTATGGAAAGACTGTCTTTTTTCCAACTGTATATTTTTTTCCTGCTTTGTCGAAGATTATTTGCCCATAGAGTTGAGGTCCATATCTGGGCTCTCTACTCTGTCACTGGTCTATGTGTCTGTTTTTATGCCAGTACCATGCTGTCTTGGTGATCACAGCTTTGTAGTAAAGCTTGAAATCAGGTAACGTGATGCCACCAGTTTTATTTCTGTTTTTCAACATTTCCTTAGCAATTCGGGGTTTCTTCTGATTCCATACAAATTTTAGGATTAATTGCTCCAGCTCTTTGAAAAATACTAGTGGAATTTTGATCGGAATGGCATTAAAAGTATAGATTGCTCTAGGCAGTATAGACATTTTAACAATGTTTATTCTTCCGATCCAAGAGCATAGAATGGTCTTCCATCTTTTTGTGTCTTCTTCAATTTCTTTCATGAGTGTTCTGTAGTTCCTCGAGTACAGATCCTTTACCTCTTTGGTTAGGTTTATCCCCAGGTATCTTATGACACACCCCAATTTCATGGACATAAATATGTGAAAAATCTTTTAAACATCTTACAGTCAACAAAATGTAATATTTCCAAAATCTGCCTGCAGGGAATCGCTATCATATAACTTTTATTAAATATTTATTTATTTATTTAATTGAGAGAGAGCACACTCAGTCAGGAGGGGAAGAGGGAAACAGAGTGATTCTCAAGCAGACTCACCTGGAATGCAGAACCAGACACAGGACTCAATCCCAGGACCCTGAGATCATGACCTGACTCGAAATCAGAGTTGAACACTCAACTGACTGAGCCACCCAGGCACCCAGAGAAGCACTGTTTGAAAGCACACTCTTGTAACTCCTAGGATGGGTGGCCAGAGGGTAGAATAAGAGGCATCCAAGAAAGCTTAGAAACCTCTGCTCTCTGTAGCATCCCTGTCTTCTATGTCTAAATAACCATAGTTAGTTTCATGGTTATAAAAGTCATGAGTCTTATAGTCATGCCCAACCTGAATTATCATTTCTTATTTATTTGAATCCCCCAGGTATGATCTTACCATGCCTTTTCTCAGAAAGAGGCCAAAGAGCTCAACGTTCAGGTACAGTGCATGGCAGGAAGTCTAGGAGAAGCAGAGGTGATGACAAAGATGGCTCCATCTCCTAGCACTGCTTTAGATGTCCTTCCCATGTCTTACTCCTCATCCTTCTAGTAAATGTGTTAGGCTCCGTTGAAATCTGCTGTTCTGATGGCCTGTTTCCAGATGTTGGCCTCTTTCTCCCTTGTTTGATTAACTGAAACCTGTTGATCCTGTGTCCTCTCCCACTGTGTAGGGGACACTGGCTATGCCCACCTGAAACCTGCCCTGGTGAGCACTGTCATTTGGCTTTGTCACTGTGCCCCCTTCGCTCTTGAAAAGGGCAGGCGATCACATTTCCTAAGTGGAATTTCTGGATTATATCTGGATGCTACCAACATGCTTTGTCAGTTTGGCAGACGCTCCACTGGGGACTCCTAATGAGGGAGTTAACAGGAAATCAAGATTTTGAAAGTCTGATACACTTTTATTTGGTTTCTTCATGAAGAAGGCCACTTAGGGGTGCCTGGGTGGCTCAGTGGGTTAAGCCTCTGCCTTCAGCTCAGGTCATGATCTCAGGGTTCTGGGATCGAGTCCTACATCTGGCTCTCTGCTCGGCAGGGAGCCTGCTTCCTCCTCTCTCTCTCTCTGCTTGCCTCTCTGCCTACTTGTGATCTCTCTCTGTCAAATAAATAAAATCTTAAAAAAAAAAAAAGAAGGCCACTTAGGTATTTTAAAAAAGTAAGTAATTGTCTTGTCACAGTAATAATAATGACGATAATGAATCTTTAGTTAGTATCTAAGGTGCAAAGTCGAAGCTGACTGCCCTCCTGACTGTGAAGGTCGAGTGTATCACATCATCCCTTTGCCAGCCCCGCCTCTCCATAAGGGAGAGTGTGATTATTGACACATTAGCTTCCCAGGGTTTACAGCCTGCTTAGCTCAGCAGGGGGTCAGGAAATCCCCAGCCAAGAGGCAGGACCTGCATAGACTGTGCTGCCCGGGCTGTGGCCAGGAGAGGACACAGGCAGCAGAATGAGGAGTAGACCAGTGGAACTCCCCACGTGAGAGGCAGTGACATTTGGAGTTCTCTCAAGAATTTCACAGTATTAGGACAGTTCTTTTGCCCACATGTCCTAGGAGTCTGTGCTGAGTCACGGTCAAGTGCTGTTGTGCTCTTGGGAGAGAGTGAGCCCAGGGGGCTGAGATGCACTGGTACTTCCTTTCCCCAAGTGCTGCAGGAACAGACTTAGCGAGTAGCCATGACACATCCATGGGGTCAAACCCAAGTAAAGGGGATTGCCACATGGGCACCATTTCAGATTCCTGCCCCCCAAGGCGTGGCCCACCCTGGGGCACCAGGTGGTATTGTTTTCCCAAGTGTTCAGATAATTCCTTCGAGGCCATAGCTTGCCTTCATCCGGTCGTGACTTAATTTCTTGAGCTTTCCTCCCTGTCAAGGATCAGAGAAGCCTGTTCTTCCTAATGTGAAGGGATTGGGGCTTTTCTTTGTAATCCCTTCACAATAACCTCAGAGATGTAGAGTAGGAAGTTGAATTTTGACGTGGCTGTTTTGTGCAGCGTCTGAATTGGTATCTGAGGGTGCCTTTCACATCTGGACAGCTGTGGGGAGCTCACCTTCAGCAGACGAGAGGCTGTGTGGGGCTCAGTCCGGAGACAGATGGGTCAGGGAAGGCATCCCACCTGCGGTGTCTAGGAGGGCCTGGGGTCTGGGGCTGCCCCCACCAGAACAGTGGGCGCCGTGCTGCCCTGTCCCCATGTAGCTTCCGGGAGCCCAGCAGGAGATGCCTTCGTGAGGGCCTTCCTGAAGCGCAGCACACCCCCCATGAGCCAGCAAGCCCGGGAGGACCAGCTGCAACGCAAAGCTGTGGTCCTGGAGTACGCCACTCGCCGGAAGCGCAAGGAGAAGAGAAAGAAATCCAAGGGCCTCTCTGCCAGGCAGAGGAGGGAGCTGCACCTCTTTGACATTAAGCCAGAGCGGCAGGGGTATGCCAGGGCTTTCCTGCCTTTCTCCCTGAGGCAGCTTCCTCCTCCTGGAGTGGGTGTGGCTTTGGGAGACCCAGTTCCCCTGAAGCTAAGGGAGCTTCTCCCACTGCCGCCACGAGGGGGCAGCCTCCCTTTCCCAACTCAGGCTGGGTTTGCACTTGGCTTTCACAGCAAGGCACAGCCAGGGTCTTGCTGTTTGACTGTCTGGCTCCTGTCCTAGCCTTAACTAATGAGACCCGCACCGAAAGTGAGTTTGTTACCCATGGCAACAGGTTGTTTGTCTTTCGGCTTTCCCAGAGAGATAGGAACTGATGGATCTTAGTATATACTCTTTACAGCTTTTACAGGCACTAGACAGAATCATCCCTTGGGTTTATTGCCAAAGAATGTGCTGCCCGCATGTTTCAGAAGTTTCTGAAAGGGACTCATCACTCTGGGAGGACGTGCTCCTCCCTCCAGCTGACAGTGCATCCCTCCTTGGTCACGCTTCTGCACATGCACGTCATCGGTTTGTAGATCTTGCTCCAAGAGCTGCAGCCAAATAGCCTCCCACACACACAGTCAGTCACTGTGTCTGGGACCCCGCTTGCAAAGAGAGCTGCGCTGCGGGTGGAGGAAGGGGCCGCAGCCTGCCTAGATTTCCCTCGCTGGTGTCTACACAGGTAGAACCCACTTCGAGTTTGAGCCTGAGGTTCCCCAACAGTTTCCTATAACAGGTTCCCCATGAGGCACCAGGACCCATAATAATGACCCCAGAGGAAAGCCTCTGAGGTCCTCTCACCTGGTCCCTCCCCTGCGTCCCACCGCTTGCTCACTCACCTTCCAGACACACCTGGTCCCTTACGTGGTGACGTGTATGGCAGCCTGCAGCTCCTGTCTGCTCCCCTCAGGGTTGGCTCCTGTAGCAGATGATCTCAAAGAGCAATGGTGAAGCAAGATCTAAGTTTAGTTTGTGAAAAGCCGTCCAGATGAGCACCCCCAGGGCCCCGGGCTGGTGTGGCAGAGACTCGGGCGGTGCTGCCCTGGGAGCACCCGGCTGCACCGCCATCTGTGCAGGGTGCCTCATGGTGTGAGGGGTCTGCTGGAGCGCCGGCCATCCAGGCTGCATGTAGCCAGGAGGAAGGATGGAAGGGCACCAGGAGGGTTCTAGCAGCGGAAACAGGTTCAGGAGGGGTACGAAGTTGTCTGTCAGGTTATCTGCTGTGGAACTAGGATGCGCACCCACTTCCCCATGACCCGGGCGGGTCAGGGTCCTTGGCATCAGGCTGTGCTCTATGCCCTGTTGATGTCACAATCCCAAGCTCATGTGGCTTAATTCTTTACTTCTTTCTACCTTAGCCACAGATAGTCTTTTTCCCCCTCTACATAAACTCTGGAAGCATTATATCCGGGACCTGTGCGGTGGTCTCAAGCCAGACACGTGAGTTGCATGTCTGCAGCCCTGCCCTTTGGCGCAGAACCCAAGGCTTACGATGACTGTGAATGCAGCCTTCGGAGCCAGCTGGCTGCAGAAGTTCGTAGACCTGTGTGCCCCTTCAGAGCTCTCGCTCATGGTCAACACGGAGGCCTTCTGCTTACCTTCTAGGCAGCCGCACATGGTTCAGACCAAGCTGTTGAAGGCAAATCTTCACGGGGCTCTCGTTTCAGGTACCTCACCTACGAGCCCACAGAGCAGCATGGCTCTGTGACACAGGGCTAGACACACTCTTGTCATGTGGACATTTCCAGATCACCAGCATTGAGTGTGGGAGAGGACTAGCTACCCGAGCCAGTTCTGGCCACTTTTTGGATACACTCTAAATGGTTTGTGTGCCTTTCCACACAGGGACTCCTGCTGCTCTCCCAGGGGGCACAGCAGCTGCTGGCACATGTCCCCAGCCCTGAGCGGAAAGTCCCTTTCATCCATTTCCCCACAGTTTTCAGTCTCAGCTACAGACTCCCAGCTCCCAGTGTCATCTCTAGGGCAGACCTTCCCCTGAGCATCGTCATTCATCCAGCCGCCCTGCACACAGCTGCCCCGCTGTCCAGCAGGCATCACAACCTTTCCATACCCAGAACAACCCTGGCCTCCTCATGTCAGCCCCTGCCCTGGTGTTCCCAGCTCCATTCACAGTACCAGTGTTTACCCTAGTTGTTTAGGCCCAAAACCTGGGCGGTAACACCTTTCTTCTTCCATGATCCCTCAGCACCATCCATCAGCACGTCCTAGCACCCAAATCCAAGCCACCGCCATCGCCCCTGGATTCCGGTAGAAGCTGCCTCGCCCTCTCCCTGCTGACACACTGCTTCTCCCCAACCAGGCAGCCCGAGGGAAGGTTTAAGGCCAAAACTCAGGCCATGTTTGTCTTTTGCTTCCTTACTGTGGTCTAAAAGGCCCCTCTGGCTTTACCGAGCACCAAGTCTAACCACATTGGCCTGCTTTCTGCTTCTTATACACTAGGCTTGGCCCTACCTCAGGCCTTTGCCATTGTTCCTTCCCTCTGCCCAGAGTTCTGTGTGTCACAGACTGACTGCTTCTCAGTATTCAGGTCCCTACTCACACGTCACTTCCCCCGAGGGCCTACCATCACTAACAGTGAACCTTCTCCCCATGACCTTGTGTATTTTCTTCATAACAGTTACCACGATCAGAAAATGCAGTCATCTGATGTGGCACACATTCCCTTCTACCATTAGAACATCAGGTCCTTGAGAGCAGAACCGACAACAGTCTTGTTCACTCTCGCGCCCGGCACTGACCTCGGACGGTGCCAGGCATGTGGCAGGTGCTCAGTGACTTGTCTACAGGTTTCATGGGACATGGTTCAGGAGAGCCAAGGGGCCGGCTGCCTGTGGTGGCAGTTCGCCTCAGTTATGCTTCACCACCTGTAACAAGAGCCCATTCTGGCCAGAGTTTGGTGGGTCGTGGGAAGGATGTGATGCACAGGTGTTCCTTCAGATCCCATCGCTGAGACTTGGCCCCATCCCAGCAACCTGTGGATCTTGGTGGTGCTGGACACACACGTGACCTCTTGGCTCCAGAGTCCTTCCCAAGACCCCCGTGGCTGCAGGTCCTCCAAAGGACATCTTGTCAGAACAGCCCAGAGGCTACAGAGCAACAGGCAAGGGATTGGGACCCCAGACTGTCATCCAGCTTGGTCCCTGTCCAGCTGAGGAGCCCCCACTCCCCACCACCCCCACCTAGCTGGTTGTGGCTGCCCAGCGCCCCTGAGGCTGAGGCCTTGAATGCCCTTTTCCTTTGCAGTCACAAAGTCCAAATGCCCGTCCTATGTGGGTGTTACAGGAATCCTCGTACAGGAAACAAAGCACGTTTTCAAAATCCTCACCAAAGAAGACCGCCTGAAAGGTACGGAACTGCCTCAGGGTGTGTGGCCTGTGGCCTCCCCGGCTTCATCGGCCCTTTCCTTGTGGCTTCAGTGAGTCCATTTGTCCTCTCAGGTCAGCAAAGATTGCAAATCCCTCCTGGCCCTGCATCCCATGCCTGCCGAGAGCGTCCCTGCCCTCAGGGCTCTCTCCAGGGCATCTGAAGCCCAGCCAGCAGCTGCAGCCAGATAGGACTGGAGACAAGGCTGCTGGGCTGCACTTCCAGATATGAGGGTCCGTTTCCATGACTGAGACCCTCCCCTGCCCCAACCTGCTGCCCTGACCCAAGGAGTGGAGTAAGCAGACCCTGAGGGGAGCCAGCTTAGTGCTTGTCCCTGGGCTTCCAGGATCTGGCCCTTTCCGGTAACCCTTTGGGTTCCAGGAAAGCAGGTGCAGCCTCCCCTGCTGGGTGTGCCAGAGCTCCTTGTTCTGGCAGAGACGAGCATAAGCCCCTGCACTGTCGACATTTCCACACCCCTTACCAGCAGATCTGAGATTGCAAAACCACAGCGGGAGGTTTTTCTTCCTTTATTTTGGAGTTTGTTTTTTCTTGCTGCTTCCTTCTGTTTCCTCATATGTTCTTGTCTCATTTTAGACCTCAGAAAGTGGTGTCTGGGTGCCCTCACTCACGGCATAAAGCCATGAGTCAGTCTGAAAACTATGCAGGGAGACTCGTTTCTTGCACTTTTTCTCAGAATTTGATTTAGAGCGTTTGACCCTAAAAATTAGTGTTGAGTTATATTCAAATCTGAATACATCGGTCTTAGGGCAGAAAAACGCCCTGTCGTCCTGTGCTGCTGAGCTTTGTGGACTCTGTTCCTTACTAGCTTACGTTCTAATGCAGACATTTAAGGAAGGTCTTGTGCTTCAGCGTGAGCTTAACCGTCAAGATTTTTTTTTTTGCCTTGTCCTTTTTCTCCTGTATTTTTTTTTCCAGTTATCCGCAAGATAAACTGTGTATTCGCAGTGAAAACCAATGGCTTCATTTCCTATATTTATGGAAGCAAATTCCAGATTCGGTCAAGTGAACGATTTAACAAGAAATTCAAAGCAAAGGGAACAGCTGACCTGTGAGCTCTCTGCTGCGGAGACGGCTGTTTGGGACCCCAAGGACCGGGGACACCTGCGTGCCCACCTTTCAGCGGAGACACGGCTGGGCTGGTTCTGCTTCTAGATCACCCCCAGCCCGTTAACACCAGAGTTAAGAACAGTTCGTCATCTGGGAAGAAATGCGCCTTACTGAGCAAAGTCAGGGAACGGAGGGGTGTCTTTCTGGGTGATGACGGGTGTGCATTGCTCCCCTGAGAGAAAATCCTGGCAGGATCGGCACAGGTTGACCTGACTGGTGGCATTATTAGGTTTTTATTTCTCTTTTATCCTTTTCTCTGTTTCTGAGTGTTCTGTGATGAATCCATTGTTTATGTAATGATAAAATACACGTGTCGACGATAAGAGGGCCCCGTGTCCCAGCCTGGAAGGGAGGTGGCCGGAGGCTGTCCCTGGCAGCAGCCCCACTTCTGCAGTGTAGACAGCTGCCCTCAGGTGCCTGCTTCCCGAGGGCAGGGGTTTGGAGCATCTGACATGTGGAACTCTTGGACCTAACTGCTGTTTCCGGAAAGCTGGAGACTGAGCAGTGAAGTCACAGAGGGCCTTTGGCCTCACTGCCTCTGGGAAGGAGTACGGGACCAGGGCCAGGATGCAGGATGCCAGGTAAGCTGGTGCTTGCAGTGGTCGTTCGGTACAGGGAGCTCTGACCTGCAGCGCCTTCTCGTCGCTGTGGCTCTTGGGCTCCAGCGTGGGCTATAGGGGAACAAGACCACAGCTCTTCCCAAGTTCTCATGTCCTGGGAGAGTCCGCAACAGGGTTCTCGCTGTGTGCTGTCGCCAGAAGCCTTGGCTCTTTGGTCTGACTCAGCCTGTGTGGCCTGTGCCTACCAGGCATTAGGTGAGGCTCTCGCAGGCAGGCCGGAGTGGGGACAGGGCATGGGCTGGCTTCCACTGTGTGGTGGTCGGGAAGCCACATGGCTCAGAAGGACCGATGGCCTGTTCCTTTGAGAAGTCAGCGTTTGCTGACCAACCAGGTGAGGGCAGAAACGTTGCTGGGAACAAACCGGCAGCAAGTCCATGAGCTTTTTCTTTTGCTGCAGGAGAAGCAGAGGTTCCAGACACTTGGCTTTGTCCGTATGTCCCGCTGGGCCCCTGCACTGGAGGAGAAAGACCGTGGGGAGGTAATGTAAACTCCAACTCTGATGGGAGAGCAGGAAGCCCTTACTCAGTGCTTCTGCACCTCCCAGAGCCTTGGGTTGCGCCCGTGTCCATCCGTGTGGGGTCCGTGGCTCGTCAGGATGGTCCAGGTTCAGCTCAGATGCTCTCCCACTGTTGCCATCACTGCCTATGCTGCAGGTCTCAGGTTCCAGCCCCTCTGGGGAGAGGGCAGCTGGCTGGCCACGGAAGCCTGTGCTCTGACAGCCTGGGTTTGCCACCTCAGGCTCAGCCTCAGGGCCCGCTACCCAGGGCCTCACCACCTGAGAGGGCTGAGCTGGGATTTGACCCCGCAATCTGGCTGCAGAGCCATGCTTTTGACCACGGGGATGAGAAGACCCTGGTCTCAGTGTGTAATGCGGTCCCCTCATCACCTGGGCTCCCACTGAGGAAGTCGCTGCCTTCCCTGTGAAGTGGCTCGTTCTTCCGCCCATTCGAATGTGCCACGCGGGGCACAGCCTGGTGCTACGGTTCCCTAGTCCAGCTGCTCCTGCCCACCCCCCTGTAGGGAAATGGTGGCCAACATGTAAATATACAACTGCTTCCAGAACCATTGGTGCCACTTGGCTTGTGAAATGTTTTTCATGGCTCAGACTCAAGTTTCTCTGTGAATGGCTGTTTCATTAGTAGCCTTCTCTCCCCGCTTACCCGAGGACACTTGACAAGAACACTCACCTGCCATGAAGCTCCCACTGTGCCCGCCTGTTTCTAGGATGCCCTGTTGTCCCCACAGCCCACCTGGGGTCACTGGGTCCTATGCCTTGAGTGCTGAGGGCCCAGGCCAGGCAGGACACTGGCTCTCGGTGAGCATCCTGATGAGGCCGTACCAGCTGCTCCCCAGAACCAGGCTGAGGCCTCCGGCAGTGGACCAGGGCTGGCCACGTCCCCACAGCTGTGGCACAGGGCCGGTTGTGGAGGGTGCTGAGGTAGCCTGCAGTCCGGGCTCCTACCTCCACTGCCCCAGTAGAGCTGTGGCCTTGGAGGTGCAGGCCTGTGGCAGACAGCTACGTCAGCCTCACTTGTTGGTCTCACGCACTGGAGGAACCAGAGAGGCCCACGGAGCAGCAGAGTGGTGACCACCTGGGGACGGGACTCAGGAGCCGCAAGGCCAGGACAGGCACCCACTGTTCTCCAAAATGTGAGTGGGCCCGCGGGCCCTTTACGTTCCCCGATACCAACTCCATGTGGGGAACTGGGCCTTCCTGCAGGGACAGAGGACAGGCCGGAGCCCCTCCAGGGGAAGAAGAGGACGAAGCACCTGGAGGGGGAAGCGAGGGCGGCACGGGTCATGGCCCTTCCGTTAGCTGGGGCGGCCCCAACCAAACCACAGACGGGCAGTGTAAACAGAACATCCTTCCCCAGCGCTGCAGAGGCTGCAAGTCCGAGTGTAAGGTGCCCTCCTGGGTGGGGTCCGGTGAGAGCCTTCTCCTTGGCCCCTTCTTGCTGTGTCCTCGTGTGGCCTTCCTCAGTGCACACCTGCCGGGAAAGAGAGCCATCTGGTGTCTCTTCCTCCTCTTATTGGGACACCAGTCCTGTAGGCTAGGGTTCCACTTTATGACTTCATTTCACCGTAATTGCCCCCTTAAAGGCTCTATTTCTCAGTGCAGTCACACGGGGGATGAGGGCTTTGACAGGAACTTGTGGGGACATGATTCCAGAATGTCCATGATGTCCAGAACAGCCGTGGAGCTGCCCACCCGGAACAGGAGCCCCTAGCAGAGCCCCTCAGAAAGGCGGTAGTACCCAGCCTGGCTCCTGTCCTCAGACACTGGCCTGGCCGGCCCGCAGCCCTGCCTAGGTTGCTGGCGCCACTAGCCGGTTCAGCTGGTCCAGCTGCTGGGCCCTGAGCTCCCCTCAACACTGGGTTCCATGACTGTCTCAGACAGGAGGTTAGGTCCAGCGGCCTCTCCACAGCCGGCTTCCCTCTCACTTCTGCAAACCGCTGAGCTCCTCCGTCACCCTCCCATTAGGGGCAGGGACTGTAGTGGGGGAGGAAACGCACACACAGGGGGCAGGGTGGACGGGGAGGCTCCCTGGAGGAGGGGGCTTGATCCAGGCTGCCGTGGGATGTGAAGAGGGACACTGAGGCTCAGGACCAGGCTGGCAGAGCAGTCGTGGAGGCCCGAGGACATCCTCTGCCCGTGAGACTCAGGGCCAGCAGGAAGAAGGTGGGAACGGGTGGCAGAGCTCTGGCTACCGATCCCAAACTCATAGGAGGTGCTTCAGGTCCTGCCTGGTTCCGTGGGAGGGGAGAGGTGCTAGAGAAGTTGTAAGCCCCTGGGACGGGGCAAGGTGTGGAATCCTGCTGACCCACTCGTCCAGTCCTGACATGCTTGGGGGCCTCCGTGTCACCAGCTGGCAAGTGGGGCCATGAGACCAGATGAGGGTTTCCTGAAGGGGGATCCTGGGACTTCCAGCACCTGCATTAGCGTCACCAGGACACCCATTTGAAGCAGCCAGCGCCTGGGCTGCTGTCAGACTCCAGGGGTGGGGCCCAGATGGCTTTGTGGGTCTCTCAGACCCCAGCTGGCTCTTCCGGTCACTGAAGTGCGAGGATCGTGGATCCCAGATGGTGGCGTAAGTGTCTTCCAGCTCTGACACCTGGACTGTGATTTAAGATTTGGGAGTCACACGATGGGGTTTTCCAGATGCTGGAAAAGATTGTCAGTGACGGATCTCTCAGGTTCTGAAGAGTAAACATGAACTTTCCCCCAAAAAGCCATAAATTATGGTAAAAAGCTGTCTTTCTGGACAATGGCTTTTGTTTTAATTTAGTTTGCATTTCTTTTCTATAATGTCTAATTAAGACATCTGTTAAATGTTATAATATTAATTTGATGGGGGGTTCTAATAGAACTGTATTGGAATTGTCCATTTAATTAACCTCCTGGGCCTTTAATGGATGTCTTAAATAGACATCATTAACAAGAGTGCTAGACAAATTAAAATTAGAGTCAATAACATTCTTGGTCATTTTTCCTGAGCTGTGAAGGACGAGTGTTGCTAAGTAGACAGACGCAAAGACGGGCTGCACAGAGGAGTGTGGGGGCTGGTGTCCCCAGCAGGACTCCAGCATGGACGAGGCCCCAGGTCGGGCTCAGTCATTCTGTGTCCTGGCCTCCCCTTCATGCACCTCTCACATACAACCCTTGCTGGCCTGTCCATCAGATTGAATTCTGATGAGGAGAAGGTAGCGAGGGAGGAAGAGGGACCTAAATCCTGGGTCTCTGCATGGCTCGAATTGAGATGGAACAGACGTGAGACAGGACAGACGAGAATGGGGCAGGATGGGCTGGGCTGGGGGTGGAGTGCGGTAAGAGGGGAGGAAGTGGGGAGCATGCCCATTTTCCCCCACCACTCCGCAGAGCAGTCTCCCTCAGGTGAACTACACTTCCAAAGCCAGGGCTGGGTTCCCATCTGCACATCACAGGTGACCTCTCAGGGCCGCTGACAGTTAACCACTGCCTCCCTCCTGAGGCACTTGTGTCCCCACACTCCCTGACAGTCCCCCACCTCCTGGCCACTTCCTCTCTGTCCTTTCATGGAACCTCCTCCTCCTCCAAGCTTCTAAATGTTGGAACGCCCTAAACTCTGTCCTTGGACTCCTCACCTTTCCCCTCAGCTGGTCTCACCCACAACCCCCAACACACCTGACTCAGAAGATCCTGTTGGCAGCCCTGCTTCTCCCCAACCCCACAGCCAAATCTGGAACTTTATCGTTGGCCTCACCTAATTCCAGCAGGAGCTCGTTTGAGCTCACGGTGGCTCTGTTTGGATGGCTGATGTGTCCCCAGTGATCTAGAAGCCCTCGCTGACCTGGAATGGGTGCTTAGTGAACATTCGCTGGGGGAATGGAAACCACGGCTGGTTGACCAAACCCCTGGGAGTGTAATGGGCTCCTGACCTGAAGAGGCTGGGCAACAATCAAGGGCTTTCCCCGACAAGGGTGCTCCCCTTCTACCCCCATCTCGGTGAACGGCCTCTGTCTCTCCATTTTGGTCAGAAACACAGGAGGCCTCCTACCCCCTGCCTGGTGTTGGTGCCTGCCCCCATCCGATCTCTCATGAAGTGCTGGTGGCTCTCCCTCGTCTTCCCTGCACCTGCCCTCACCCACCCTCCCACCACCCCTCGGGGCCTCCCTGCCTCCACATGTGGCCCCATCACAGCTCAGGTGAC